ACATCAAAAAAGCGTCTTATGGTAAGTGTTGCAATTACCGGAGCGGGCAGTTCGGGGAAAAGATTTTTACACCGAGAAAATGTCTCGTCTAGTTCCTTCGTATCCAAACCAGGGCGTCCGCCGAGCTGACCCACAGCGCTAGATATTTGTAAGGCCGTTTCTGATGTATGCGTCCGCCTATCGATACGGCCGAGCGAATGTTAGCGAAAGCACGTAAAGCTTACGTAGAAGAGTTCAAGAGCTGCAAGTTACATGAATTCTGCAGTGGAAACGGGTATTTTATCCGCTTAAAACTTGTCGCCTTGTCATAAGCCTTCAAAAAAGAATACTTGAATTTGCACATCTCCTCGAAGCTTTGGTGGTGAAATCCAAGTGCGAATTTGCGTAAGAACAGACCTTAGAGAAAAGGAAACTGATGTTGACGAGAAATTGATGTTACCAAAAACGCTGTCTCTTGTAAGAAAGAACCCGTCGTCTTCGTCCAGAGAGACACTACTGGATAATAGCAACGTCTTCACATCCGAAGGATGTATATAGTTGACGGCTTCAAAGCTGTCTCGGATTCGGTCAATACTGAGGGTAAAATGGATCCAGATATTGATAAACTGTCGTACCGTCCATGTACCAGAGCTTTCAGGGAAGTAGGTAACAGAGATGAGTCTTCACTGATGCAACGAAACGGATCATCCGAAGATTTCTTCGAAAAAGTGAAGTAACAGCCTTCTACTTACTCGAAGTAAATCGTAAAAGTACATATACATTCGCATTTTTGGGGTTCCATCCACGAATCATCAAATGAAGATTTCTTCGAATAAGTGAAGTAACAGCCTTCTACTTACTCGAAGTAAATCGTAAAAGTACATATACATTCGCATTTTTGGGGTTCCATCCACGGAATCATCAAACATTGATTGTCCCAGCCGAACAGATAGTATATACTCTCTTAACAGTATGAACAGCATCAAATTCGTGTGCGTGAGAGAATCAACAAATGAGACATCGCGAAGGAAACTATCGTAAAAAGTCATGATGTGGGGCGACGTGCAGAATGCAGGTGCAATTCTGTTGGAAGGAAAGTTCGCACTGAAAACTCCGCTAAAAGAGAGGTATAAGTTAAGAAAAAACTTGACATTCCTATGCACACCGTATTCATGGGAAAGCAGCAATGACTAAAACATTGACGATGGCCCTGGACTAGAAAGAAGCATCCAAGAGTTTAGAACCGGGGAATCAAAAAGTGAAGGTTCCCGATAATACGATCTGCGGTTTTTATTACTAAAGTGGAACAGTCATCAGCACGGTATCCATCAAAGCTACAGGACCTCAGTACTCATCAAAGACCTTTCTTACCACGGCCACTTGGTTAACTTAGTTTACACAATTTCAAAAAGACCACTTCGTGGAATGGAATGAGTCGGCTTTCAGCCCCTGGTTATTCTTCGTGCACCCATCTAGGTCTGACATTTCCTGAAATCCTATCCAAAGTCCTCGTGACATGAGCATCCAAGAAGTTTGGCTTCACGTTTTGATCCTACAAATATCTAAAAAAAACATGTATCCCCTTTAACCCAGAAAACTTCCATTGTGGTTGGGGTGGGACTCCTCATTTGTCCACTCCACTGAAAAACGGTAGACCTCACCTACTATCCTTTCCTGATGGGGTATTTGAAAACGTTCTCCACTGTTCAGACGTGGGGCAGCTTGCCTTGCTTCACTGATGCTACCACCGAAGATGGTCAGCAGAGCTGGCATTTTCTTATCCACTATCTCAGCCATAAAATCTGAACTTTGCCCCGTTTCTACTTTTTTTTTAAGCCCGATGCGTCTCTGCTACCCTAAAATTTTAAAAGACCGTGGTACATTCCACATGAACCCACAAAAAATCGTTCAGCTGTGGCACCATTTCGGTGCCAAACTGCCATGCCGCCCGAAAGATGCACAAGAACTGGGACACTGTTAGGTCGCCAAAGTCCTGACAGGGGAAGTCGGGATGCAGAGGTCGGATTCAAACCACGGACCTTCCGGTTTATAGTTTGATGCGTTTCGTTCTTTTGTTGGCGTTTTATAAAGTCTCCGGAAATGAAGTCCGACTCCCGCTGTGATTTACAAGTACAACGAAAAAACGGTATGACTCTCGTTTTCTCTGAAGTGAGGCTGCTATGGCCTGTTCTCGAAATGTCATGCTGAGGTGAAGTTAAGGTGTTTTATCCGCAGTCAACGTACCAGATTTCTGAAGATTGCGAAGACCTGAGGAAACTTGCTATAATATCTTCTCAGAAACTGTTTCACGTTCTTTGACTGAACCTGTCCTTTATCGTCAACACTTACGCTAGCTCTCGAAAATTCACCAGAAGCCATGACTAGGGCGAGATGGCTCAGTGATTAGAGTGCGAATTTATTGACCGAAAGGTCAGTGGTTCGAACCCGACCTCTGCCTCTCGATTTCGCCTGCCTAGGCTTCGGTAACCTGGTAGTATTCAAGCCCTAGTGCTTCTTACGGGTGGCATGGCAGCTAGTCACCGAAAGGGTGTTACAACTGGACGAGAAGCTATGGTTGTCTTGTAAAAGTGAACTTGGTTGCACCACTAACTGGATAGCTTTTATTCAAGTAAAGTGTGACATTACCAGGCGGTATGTTGAGTTTTCCAAAAACACACCAGAATCCGTAATCATCTTCAAATTTGTCTCAGTATAGTGAATGTCGTAATATAATATTTACAGCAACCAACAGAAGAAACCCACAAAATCTCGCCCAATTGTCGTCACAGCGACCTCGAAAATTAAGCAGTACTCTTGTGTCCACTTTTGTCAAATTGGATTTTCAACATCACATGCTGCAAAACGAGCTCTCATTATCATCTCAGCAACAGCGCCCTGCGTAGACTTACAGAGTAGTACCAAGAACCCAAGTGTGCTTGAAAGGCCATGCAACATTGATTGTTGTTTTTGACAACACTGAATCAGGTTTATTTGTCCTCCGAGACGACAAAAGAAAGCGCAGGTCACCACAGTTTGCAAGTCACAGCATGGTTTCGGTGGAATGGATGTGTCATATAATCAAATTGATGACAGTATTACATACGAAAGTAATAAATACCCGCGCTCAATACAACCATGAGCGAAGAAAGCCTTAGGAAAGAGGGAGAGAAGACAAAAGAGTATGAACGATCCTTTAAGAAAACGATCAAGAATGCAGTGCCTACACTTTAGGACAACATATCTGAGCACTATGTCGAACTAGGGTGCCATCAGCAAGATAAACGAGGCATTATTCGCGGACCTCACCTAACATGAGCACAGCGCACGACAAATAAACTTTAGCTAGACAGTCCCACTGAGAAATTACAGCATGCGCACCACCTAAAGGGGCAGGATGGCAGTGGTTGGAGTGCCAATTTGTTGACCGTAAGGTCCCTGGTTCGAATGCAACCTCTGCACCTCGACTGCCCCTGTCTAGGCTTGAGCAACTTGGCAGTATCCCAGCTCTCGCGCTTGTAATACTGGGTCTTGCTGCCCTTGGTCTGACTGCTTTCGGTTGGCCTATCTGGCATGGTTGAGCCCTTAGGAACAGAGTTCAAGCAAGCGCGGCCTGTAGGATTATTACGACCACAGCGACAAGGTGGTAGCCTTGGACCGAATAATTTATTCACTGATTACGTCCATCCGGATCAAGGCTCATTCTCTGTGTCCTGAAAATTGAAGGAATTTCCACACGCGAAACACACTGAGCAGCAGGACTACTCCGGAGAGAACTCAAGTTAATGGCTAAGTTGAACGGTTCATGGTACCCTTTGGAAAACCACTACGCTAAATCTGAAGTACTATGCTTCATGTTAGTCACTGAAAACATGCCTGGCATTTCTTACGTTCTTTTCTACGCATAGCTAAAGAATTCACTCCTCATGGGTGAACGTTCACTCACGAATGGCGTTTTATTTGGGGAAGGTCTTCATCGGTTATGGCGTTTCTCCGTTCACCATCCGCAGCAACAGCATCAGAGACGGTGACAGTGTTGACACTGATTCTTCACTACCGTACAACAAACTTTAGTTAATTGTACTTGAAGACTCAAAGTAAAGAGGAGGAAAAGGTGAATGGAGGGATATGGTGTGAGCCAACAAAAAACAGTCTGAGGTACTTACATCTCTGAGCGTTTAATCAGATAATCTGGAAAAAATGATAGTACGAATGCCACTGACATCGATTAGCCGCCATTTCTTGCAATGTATCCCGTGAAACACGAGGGGAAATACGAGGAAGTCAACCTGGAGGGCGGACTACACCAAAATATCTAAACTTTTCGCAATCTGTTTCATACCCTTCTGCCAAGTCACACGTTGCCCGCCTCCGTTCATCCGAGTTCGTTTTGCTGTAGCATCCTTTCGGTGCCTAGTTGCCATGACAGTGAGGGCTGGGATACAGTCAGATTGCTCAAGGCTAGACAGGACTAGTCAAGATGCTTGGGTTGGATTTGAACCGCGAACCTTCAGGTCAGTAAGATGTCACTGAGCTACCTCGTACTCACATCCAAGTAGGGGCCTGTTGTGGAATAACCAGGGCTAGTCGAATGCAATCCCGAGTATGAATCTGTTCACTTCAAATATGGCAATGAATAGAGAGTTTTTGTTGGGTGACCGGCGACCATAGGATATAATACCGAGGATGAGAATACAGGAGGGACATTGTCTGAGTGAAACTTCTGTCCGTAACTCGACGCACAAGTTATGATGTACACGAATCTCAAGGTCTTGTGTATTCCAATACAACAGAAATCAATCGCAGAGAGAATAAAGCCTTACACTAACCACGCACACGACCGCGCAGTGCACCCAGTTTTAGCATCACACATTCGAACACATTCAAGTTGACGTTCCCACGCATTCACCAAGTTCTATACGTCGCATTATTTCATAATGACACACTTTAGAAACTATGGGTATTTCTCTTTCCCGGAACCGGAATACGGCAGCGATGTTTAATTTCGACCCCCTGACCTAAACGGGTTTCCACGCCTGATGCAAGAGATGCTCGGGTGCGCAATAAGATGCGGAACTCTGCACTGTTATCAATCATTCAATCCAAAAGGAATATATGTATACAAGAGATGATAGCTTCATAGTTTTTATTGAAGTGACTCCTTATTTTCCGGGCTCCTACAGAATCCTGGCAGTCTACCTTCACGTGACGTTCACTCAATGGTTATCACTGGCTAAATTGCCTAGGAGTGACCATAGCATCTTATGTGCGAGAAATTCGACATTCCGAGCCTCGTAACAGGGTTAGTACATAGAGATCTCACATACGGGCATCTCGAGTTTCCAATAAGACATCCAACCAAGAGTTGTCACCTTAAAGCGTTATTAAGCCTAGAGTACTGCAGCCATCACGTTGCTTATAGGTGCTTCAGTTTCGCTCAACAAGGTGCAACCTTGCCGGAAGAAAATAGTATGGGGCGGAGCCGCCCGAAATGACCGACTGGGAGGACGTTCTGCAAACCGGGCGCAGACCATGAGGATGCGCCGATTATAGGCCAATCAAAATTAAGCACTTTCGGTCAGGAGTTCTGGCCTAATCAGGATTCACGGATTTCACGGATTGATACACAGGATCGAGGCTTTTGCCCAAGTTTCCTGGGTCGGTTTTGTTCTTGTCGGTCAGTGGCTGTCGTTCACCTGAAAGGCACAAGTGAAAAAAGGGTGTAGCACTGCTCTTTATGTTCTCAGCGCGGGGCAGTATCCTCGCCAGCGCGAAAATTCGCATAAACAAATGTCTAATAGTGCTTTAAATTGGGTTCGAGAAGGAGCGTGCACAACCGTCGGAGGAAGGTCATTCCACGCAGCTACTACCCGAAATGAAAAAAAGTTTTGTCTAACGGATGTGTGTGCCCTGAGCTTGAAGATTTTCTTACTATGTCCCCGCCGGGTGTTTGCTGGGTAAACGGTAAAAAACCTGTTTGCCAAGCTTTGTTCAAACAGGGCGTAGGTAAGAATTAGGTCCCCTCGGAGGCGACGGCACTCCAGGGGAAAGAGATCAAGCGTCACGAGA